AGACTCAGTGGCCAAATCACCACCTAAACGGGGCACTTAGTCTAACCGACCCAATTTCTGGGACATTTCCCCAAGATCTGGGTAAGGTGAGGAGTTTAGGGAATCTTGGAAAGTGGGAATGCGGTTCGGTGGGGAACATTGCACCATATTTCACCCCATTTCCCCTACGTGTACATATGCCCATTTTGCAAGGGGGAAACGTCAAGTAACACCAAAACGGGGCAAATAAACCATAGGAGAATATGCGGCAACCAATTTTATGTAAAGGAGGGCCGTGTCAGCAGAAAGACGCGGCGCCATGCCCACTCATGCCCGGTGTGTCAAACTGTTGTGTGGTCATGCCGTTCGTTTGGGCAGATTCACGTCAACCATGACACGCCTGCTGGGAAACCATGCAAGAAAACAAAATGGTTCGTGCCACAACAGAAGCCCCATAAGAGACGGTGAATCACAGGCTCTTGTAGCCCATGCACCCCCTGAAAAACAGATGGCAGGGGCATGTATATAGCTGTAAGAGTTGTTGCCACGGGAGGGTTGGAAGCGTTTGGGGGGTTTGAGGCCGGGCAAACGGCAGTCTTGAACCCCCTGAAAAACAGATGGCAGGGGCATGTATATAGCTGTAAGAGTTGTTGCCACGGGAGGGTTGGAAGCGTTTGGGGGGTTTGAGGCCGGGCAAACGGCAGTCTTGAACCCCCTGAAAAACAGATGGCAGGGGCATGTATATAGCTGTAAGAGTTGTTGCCACGGGAGGGTTGGAAGCGTTTGGGGGGTTTGAGGCCGGGCAAACGGCAGTCTTGAACCCCCTGAAAAACAGATGGCAGGGGCATGTATATAGCTGTAAGAGTTGTTGCCACGGGAGGGTTGGAAGTGTTTGGGGGGTTCTAAGAGTTGTTGCCACGGAAGGGTTGGAAGCGTTTGGGGGGTTTGAGGCCGGGCAGTCTTGAACCCCCTGAAAAACAGATGGCAGGGGCATGTATAGATGTAAGAGTTGTTCCCTTGGAGGCCTGCGGAAGCGTTTGGGGGGTTTGGGGGGTTTGAGGGCGGCAAACGGCAGTCTTGAACCCCCTGAAAAACAGATGGCAGGGGCATGTATAGATGTAAGAGTTGTTGCCTTGGAGGGGCATGTATATAGCTGTAAGAGTTGTTGCCACGGGAGGGTTGGAAGCGTTTGGGGGGTTGTAAGAGTTGTTGCCACGGGAGGGTTGGAAGCGTTTTGGGGGGTTTGAGGCCGGGAAAACGGCAGTCTTGAACCCCCTGAAAACCGGATGGCAGGGGCATGTATAGATGTAAGAGTTGTTCCCTTGGAGGCCTGCGGAAGCGTTTGGGGGGTTTGGGGGGTTTCAGGGCGGGCAAATGGCAGTCTTGAACCCCGTGAAAAACACATGGCAGGGGCATGTATAGATGTAAGATTTGTTGCCTTGGAGGGGCATGTATATAGCTGTAAGAGTTGTTGCCACGGGAAGGCTGGAAGCGTTTGGGGGGTTGTAAGAGTTGTTGCCACGGGAGGGTTGGAAGCGTTTGGGGGGTTTGAGGCCGGGCAAACGGCAGTCTTGAACCCCCTGAAAACCGGATGGCAGGGGCATGTATAGATGTAAGAGTTGTTCCCTTGGAGGCCTGCGGAAGCGTTTGGGGGGTTTGGGGGGTTTGAGGCCGGGCAAACGGCAGTCTTGAACCTCCTGAAAAACAGATGGCAGGGGCATGTAGCTGTAGGACAGGCTTGAACCTCCTGAAAAGCAGATGGCAGGGGCATGTAGCTGCAAGAGTTGTTGCCTTGGAGGCCTGCGGAGAGTTTGGAGGGTTTGAGGCCGGGCAAACAGCAGGAGCATGTAGATGGCTGGGGCATGTAGCTGACAGAGGTGGTCAGGGGCATGTAGCTGTAAGAGTTGTTGCCTTGGAGGCCTGCGGAGAGTGTGAAGGTTTGAGGCCGGGCAAACGATGTAGCTGTAAGAGTTGTTGCCTTGCGGAGACAGGCTTGAACCCCGTGAAAAGCAGATGGCAGGGGCATGTAGCTGTAAGAGTTGTTGCCTTGGAGGCCTGCGGAGAGTTTGGAGAATTTGAGGCCGAGCAAACAGAGGCCTGCGGAAGCGTTTGGGGGGTTTGGGGGGTCTGAGGGCGGGCAAACGGCAGTCTTGAACCCCCTGAAAAACAGATGGCAGGGGCAGGTATATAGCTGTAAGAGTTGTTGCCACGGGAGGGTTGGAAGAGTTTGGGGTGTTTGAGGCGAGGCAAACGGCAGTCTTGAACCCCCTGAAAAACAGATGGCAGGGGCATGTATAGATGTAAGAGTGGCCTGCGGAAGCGTTTTGGGGGTTTGGGGGGTTTGAGGGCAGGCAAACGGCAGTCTTGAACCCCCTGAAAAACAGATGGCAGGGGCATGTATAGATGTAAGAGTGGCCTGCGGAAGCGTTTTGGGGGTTTGGGGGGTTTGAGGCCGGGCAAACGGCAGTCTTGAACCCCCTGAAAAACAGATGGCAAGGGCATGTATAGATGTAAGAGTTGTTGCCTTGGAGGGGCATGTATATAGCTGTAAGAGTTGTTGCCACGGGAAGGCTGGAAGCGTTTGGGGGGTTTGAGGCCGGGCAAACGGCAGTCTTGAACCCCGTGAAAACCGGATGGCAGGGGCATGTATAGATTTAGATGTAAGAGTTGTTCCCTTGGAGGCCTGCGGAAGCGTTTGGGGGGTTTGGGGGGTTTGAGGCCGGGCAAACGGCAGTCTTGAACCTCCTGAAAAACAGATGGCAGGGGCATGTATAGATGTAAGAGTGGCCTGCGGAAGCGTTTTGGGGGTTTGGGGGTTTGAGGCCGGGCCAACGGCAGTCTTGAACCCCCTGAAAAACAGATGGCAGGGGCATGTATAGATGTAAGAGTTGTTGCCTTGGAGGGGCATGTATATAGCTGTAAGAGTTGTTGCCACGGGAAGGCTGGAAGCGTTTGGGGGGTTGTAAGAGTTGTTGCCACGGGAGGGTTGGAAGCGTTTGGGGGGTTTGAGGCCGGGCAAACGGCAGTCTTGAACCCCCTGAAAACCGGATGGCAGGGGCATGTATAGATTTAGATGTAAGAGTTGTTCCCTTGGAGGCCTGCGGAAGCGTTTGGGGGGTTTGGGGGGTTTGAGGCCGGGCAAACGGCAATCTTGAACCTCCTGAAAAGCAGATGGCAGGGGCATGTAGCTGTAGGACAGGCTTGAACCCCCTGAAAAGCAGATGGCAGGGGCATGTAGCTGCAAGAGTTGTTGCCTTGGAGGCCTGCGGAGAGTTTGGAGGGTTTGAGGCCGGGCAAACAGCAGGAGCATGTAGATGGCTGGGGCATGTAGCTGACAGAGGTGGTCAGGGGCATGTAGCTGTAAGAGTTGTTGCCTTGGAGGCCTGCGGAGAGTGTGAAGGTTTGAGGCCGGGCAAACGATGTAGCTGTAAGAGTTGTTGCCTTGCGGAGACAGGCTTGAACCCCGTGAAAAGCAGATGGCAGGGGCATGTAGCTGTAAGAGTTGTTGCCTTGGAGGCATGCGGAGAGTTTGGAGGGTTTGAGGCCGAGCAAACAGAGGCCTGCGGAAGCATTTGGGGGGTTTGGGGGGTTTGAGGCCGGGCAAACGGCAGTCTTGAACCTCCTGAAAAACAGATGGCAGGGGCATGTAGCTGTAGGACAGGCTTGAACCCCCTGAAAAGCAGATGGCAGGGGCATGTAGCTGCAAGAGTTGTTGCCTTGGAGGCCTGCGGAGAGTTTGGAGGGTTTGAGGCCGGGCAAACAGCAGGAGCATGTAGATGGCTGGGGCATGTAGCTGACAGAGGTGTTCAGGGGCATGTAGCTGTAAGAGTTGTTGCCTTGGAGGCCTGCGGAGAGTGTGAAGGTTTGAGGCCGGGCAAACGATGTAGCTGTAAGAGTTGTTGCCTTGCGGAGACAGGCTTGAACCCCGTGAAAAGCAGATGGCAGGGGCATGTACCTGTAAGAGTTGTTGCCTTGGAGGCGTGCGGAGAGTTTGGAGGGTTTGAGGCCGAGCAAACAGAGGCCTGCGGAAGCATTTGGGGGGTTTGGGGGGTTGGGGGTTTTGAGGCCGGGGCAACGGCACCAGTATTGAACCGCCTGTGGAAAAACAGGATGGCCAGGGGGCATGTAGTGTAGGACAGGCTTTGTTTGAACCCCTGAAAAAGCAGATGCAGGGAAATGGTAGCTGCCAAGAGTTGTTGCCTTGGAGGACGGAGGAGAGTGAGGAGGGGTTGACGGCAGGGCAAACAAACAGCCAGGAGCATGTAGATGGTGGGGCATGTAAGCCTGACAGAGGTTGTTCCCGCCAGCCCCGGGGCATTTAGCTGTAAGAGTTGTTGCCTGGAGGCCTCCTGCGGGAGAGAGGTTGAGGAGGAGTGTGAAGGGGCAAACGATTTCGTAGCTGTAGAAGATCCTCGTAAGCAGTTGTTTGCCTTGCGGAGAGGAGAGGAGGAGAGAGACAGGCGTGATGCTTGAACCCCGTGAAAAGCAGATGGCAGGGGCATGTAGCTGTAAGAGTTGTTGCCTTGGAGGCCTGCGGAGAGTTTGGAGAATTTGAGGCCGAGCAAACAGAGGCCTGCGGAAGCGTTTGGGGGGTTTGGGGGGTCTGAGGGCGGGCAAACGGCAGTCTTGAACCCCCTGAAAAACAGATGGCAGGGGCAGGTATATAGCTGTAAGAGTTGTTGCCACGGGAGGGTTGGAAGAGTTTGGGGGGTTTGAGGCCAGGCAAACGGCAGTCTTGAACCCCCTGAAAAACAGATGGCAGGGGCATGTATAGATGTAAGAGTGGCCTGCGGAAGCGTTTTGGGGGTTTGGGGGGTTTGAGGGCAGGCAAACGGCAGTCTTGAACCCCCTGAAAAACAGATTGCAGGGGCATGTATAGATGTAAGATTGGCCTGCGGAAGCGTTTTGGGGGTTTGGGGGG